AAGCGATCGCGTCACTAATTCTTTCAATACAATAGTATATAATGGACACACAATTATTGTAAACCTGGTAAAAAATTTGTCATACAACAAAATGTATACACAGAAAAAAATTTAATAAATTAATAAATATTTGTTTGAATAGTACTAAATAAATATATTTATTCAATATAAACATATATTTATTTAGTACAAAAAACATTTATTTGAAAACATATTCGCGATGAAAATATTTTTATTCATTACGAATATGCATGTGTTTACAAAGTACGTAATCCTCTTACTCTGAGAACACAATGTTTTTCGGAATTCGATATGCAACGTGAGAAAAAAGAAATTCAGATCTCCTATTTAATTAATTACGCTTTCGGTCTGATATTGAAAGGGTTGAAGAACAGGCAGTATAGAGATTGTATGATGACGGTAGGACAACGCTGACGCATCGACCGAAACTCGTCAAAGACTTAAAAATTGATGGGATGCCGTTTCCTGGACAGGACTACTCACTTTGCGCCCAACAGGTCAACCAGGTAGATAATGGGATCGACCCCTCCTCTAAAGGAAAAGTAGTGAAGTTGTCAAGGAAAAGGGACACTTCAGCCCCGGCTCATGTCAATGGTGCTGCGCACGCTCTTTGATCGCACCGATAAACCGGTGGAAAATGTTGTTTCTACCGGTAATCCGATTATGGACCAAAATATCCGCACTGTTCCTAAAAACTACAAAAGAATTGTTAAATTTTGGTGTGTGGTGTGTGTGTGTGTGTTATTCCGTAGTTAAACCATTCATAGTTAAATTCAAAACTATATACATATATAGTATCACATTTGACATCATACAGCGTCAAATTGGCACTTTTGGGGGAAAAGGAAAAGAGAGAGAGAAGGCGAAGAAGACACGGAGTGTTAGCTTCTCTCTCTCTCTCTCTCTCTCTCTCTCTCTCATTTTTCTTTTTTCTCTTCGTCGCTTTAAATATTTTTATGAGTCTCGGCTGTTAACATGACCAGAGTAGGCCTTTTTCAGTACCTGATTTCCCTGTATCTGTAGGATCTCTCAGGTGCGGCTAAGCGTTTATCCATGGAAGAAGCTATGATCGGTTGATTTAGTATAGTTAAAGAGGCACCGCCGTTCGTAGACTGTAAAGACACGATGGAAATTTGTGTCTCGGTTTGCTTCGGTGATTTTCCCGGCGTGAGAAATCACTACGGAGATAATTATAAACGTAAATTAAGTCTTCTTTCCCATCAATGGTTCCTCTTAGAGAGAATTTGTACTAATAAATCTTCGCAGGGTTTCAGTCCTGAAAAATTAATTTTTCCTTTTCTCACAGGCTTAAGTATATTAAGAAATAAGTATAAAATCAATACAACTGGCCAAGTATATCATTACGATACGAAAAAGACTTCGAAAACCCTATAAAAATCTATTTAAAAATTATTTGTAAAAAATGAATATATTATCAGCGCAAAATTACCCAATAATTACATACAATAAACGTTTAATGCATCCAAAAGTGCGTGTTACGATTTAAGATATTTAAAAGTATATGCAGCTAAAAAGTGTGTATTTAACTTGTTCTCTTGTTTCATGTAAATCATAAGTCTTAATATATTTCCCGAGTTTGGTTTTTCAACCCCCATTTTTGAGGGTTGAACCACAGTACCATGCGTGCTCAATTTAACTTTAGAGCCTCTTTGAGGAGTAGAGGCTCGCTTATGTTTTTGCATTTGGTAGTAGTTTGCATTCTTATTCCTTAGAATTTGTCAACACTCGAGGGGACCTACAGTTTAACGCCGAATTCGAACGGCGAACGCGAAAAATCGCGTATATGAGGTGCAAGTGGGATCGAACCCGGATCTACAGATTACGAGTCAATCGCACTGAGCGGCGAGACACTCGGCGCCCCGTAAATCTTAAGTCGCACGAAACGAGCTGTAATAATAAACTGAAAATAATAAACGGGATTATAGTAAAGTAGATACTTGCCGTGCCCGGGTAGCATTTATTATGATATATTATATTCTTGTGAATCCATTTATAATTTAACATAATGTTTTGAAAATATGTAAATAATAGATATGATGATAAGATATGTAAGAAAATCCGGGCACAGTATAAGTAAAATCAGTATATGACCCGGATCTTAAAACAGAATACAATTCGATTCTCACAGACGTTGTATCTGCGTCTAATGGTTTCTATTAAGTTTTAATTAGAGAAGTAATCGATATATCTCTTTTTTTTATGATAATTAACGAATAAGTGGATGATAAGAAAGAAATAATCAATAGAACTTTTAGTTTACTTGAAAACTAAGAAAAACTATAAGGAAAACGAGAAAATAAATTTGTGTGTAATTAAAAAAAGATCATAAAACTATTGTAATAAATTTAATGGCACGTATTTATGTGACTCTTTGATTGCGACTATCCAAATTTTATTGCGGTTTCCAATTGATATTATCGTATACAAATTAGTGTAGTGATATAATTTCAGTTAATTTTAAATTTACTTTATTCGCTACGTTTATTTATAGCGTCAATTAAGGGGATACTGGAGTGACGGACAAACTTGATCGATATCGATAGTACAGATTTTTTAAGTTCCAAATAAAAAAGTCGATAATAGTGACATCTTTAAGAGAATGCCGGAATGACGGCCGAACTTGATCGATGTCGATAGTATAGATTTTTTGAATTACAAATTAAAAGTCGATAATAGTGACATCTTTAATTAATTTCTTACATTACCGTTCTGTCTCACTCTCAAATGCATACATGTGTCCTTATCTAATATTGCAACGCCATCTCTTAGAAGATCGAACACCTACTGCTAAACACAATTACTGTTTTGTTTACCATTCTGAGTCTTCCCTTAGCGTTCATATATTTGTAGATCGATATAAATCTTTCTTTTTAAGTTTTTAATCTTAGTTTCATAAAGTCAATATATGTATTATTTGTATGTACACATAAGATATTGAGTTCTGAACTGTTGTTTTGTCGATACGATCATTTTTAGCTTTTCTTTCGATTTTAGTATAAAGTTCACTGCACCTCCCAATTTTGCGTCTATTTTAATCCTGTAAAAGGATTTTTTATTCTATATTCGAATAAATTTAGAGATTTATATCGATCTGTAATGTCCCGACAATTTGGTCATTCCAGCATTCCCTTAATCATGGTTTATTATAATTGACCTGTTTTAAACTCTTACATTTCAAAAATTACTGTTCGGAACGAAAAATAGCAACTATATTTTTATGACTTAAATTTTTTTCGAGAACTTTCTTGCTATGATATTCTGATTTGCGAATTTCCGGACACCCTTTGTATAATTAAACGTTATTCGCTCGTATATTGATAGGAACGAATCATAAGATGTTATTGCTACATGGTAGTGGAATAAATAATTAAAGTGCTAGGAACGCGCCGCGGTAGTTAATGATCACTTCGCGTCGCGGTATTCGCGCCCTTATGTTACAAAATCATTTTCAAGTTGTGAGTGAAAGAGGGGCGGGGGGAAGGGAGGAGGAACGAGACTGACAGGCGGCGATAGTTAAGGAGGGTTTAAGGGGGTTCCGGGACAATGCGAATCTGTAATTATAAGCGCGCCGGTCTTGTGCTTTTACTTCCTTTTTTTTCATGTAAAATCTCTTGCAGCCCCGTATTATCGCCTTAAATCAACAAAGCCGCTCCTCTGGTTCGGTGAAGGTACGGCATTCGGAAAGGGATGGGAATGGTGGAGAGGAGAGTTTTAAGGTCGGGAGGGAGATGAAGGGCGACCTGCAGGGCAACAAGAGAGAGAAAGAGGGACTTTAATAACAGGTCTCACTTAATAACCTACGTCCCGCACACGGTCCAAACTGAATGTCATTGCAGTAGATTCGATCACGTGACTCGGCACTGCTCGTACGGCAAGAAGGCATAGCGCAATCGACTCTCGTGAGATATGGTGTATAACCGGGAGATACTGGGCAACGATCTTTGATCGATTAATTTGGTGATGCGTCGAGTTCACTTGTCGTCAGTCAAAATATTGATAATTCATTTTACAGATTTCTATATATGCTATGAAAAATTATTACACATATAGATATATATATACGCTATATAGAGAATGCCAACACAGAATTTGCAGCAATATCGCTGCAATATTGCTGTAATGTTGCAGCGTTGTTGCTGCAACTTTATGCTGTATATATACTATAAAATACGTATAAAAGATCTTATTAAGGGGATGCTGGAGGGATGCTCCACCCTGTATGCATATATATACCGGGTGTTTCAGACACTTCATTTAAAAACGAGGGAAGTGGTTATTTGAAAAATGTTTCAGAACAAACGTTGTTGGGGATCAAGTAATACATTACATGGGCATATGCGATAGACGTAGGGTGGCGCCGTGAAGGTTATGTCAAGGTCGACTTGAATTTTTGAAATGGGAACCCATATTTTTTATTGCATATTCTTGTAGGTCACCTCAAGGCGTTTTCGAAACATCGGTTACAAATCTATTACTTGATTCCCAACAACTTTTGTCTGAAACATTTTTCAAAATAAATTTCCCTCGATTTTAAATTGGGTATAGGGGTGGTCTGAAACACCCGGTATAATGTTACGATCCAATAATAATAAGTTATCATCCGAGTTTGGTTATCAATGGAGATGATAACTGCAGAGAAAAAATTGTCGTTTATATATAAATTATATATATGATAGTATAGCATTAAAAGTATGCGTACTTATTTATACAGCATTTATATAATAAAAAAATCATGAATATAATATATGTATTATCAAAATATTTACGTTAATAATCGCAAATTGTTATTAATTGTCGATAATGTCATCGTTCTTCAATTATCCGCGGATCCGTGAGCGGCTGCTGCTATTGGTGTATTCATCCAATAACAGCGAGCGTTAGTTGAGTCTGCTGAACGCGATCATTCCACTATTTCAACCTATTTCAACCATGCGTTTGCGTACTATCACTGGTCCGCACAGAACGTGGTTATTCAGAATTTTTTTTCTTATACGTGAAAAAGAACTTCCTACACACACCATACTTTATAAATTAATCAAGAATCACAACGATAATTGAAAGGCACAGAAATGTTGACGCGAGCATCCATAATCGTTCGCCGGCAAGCATTGCTAAAATCAAACATGATTTCGCAGGTAAAATACTTTTGCGGCTTTTTAGAGGTTAGGTTAGGAGGTTATTACCTGGTGGCAAGAAGTATTAAAGTCTGTGTTTTAATGAAAAGAAATTGAGTCAATAACTAATTATCTGATGGACACAAATTCTGAAAAAAATATATGCACACACACACACACACACATACATATTAACAATTTCGTATTAAATACAGTCATTTTATTATGTACATTGATATATAGGATTTATATATTACTTTCACTTCTATTTCTTCATTTTATATATAAATATATTCTATATAAATATATATTCAAGGAGAATGGAAAATTATTTTTTAAGAGTAATAATGGTAAATAATTGTCGTTATTAATTCTTAAAAATAATTCTTTTATTGTTTTTGTTATCGTAAAAAGTAATGGTTTGTTACTTTTCATGTTATTTTTTTTATGCTGAAATAAGATCAGTTTAAAAAATTGTGTAATATTTTTTGTTTAAATATTAATGAAAGCAATAAACGATTATGATACTAGATCGATATGTAAAAACACAACTAAGGAAAATGCTTTTTTAGTTTAAACTAGAGCTTTGTACATAATAATATTTCCGAATGAATTTATACATATATACATATGAAATTTGTAGTCTTGGAACATAATTCAGCTGAGGTGATATTTTTCACAAATTTTGTAATACATGGCATCACTTCTGTCAAACTTAAAGATTGATATTTATAAAGTTTGTCTTTAATACAGTTCTGTGATTGGTTTATAACATGGTTTTTAAGATGTCATAAACAATCACAGAGAGCCGTATTAGTGTCTCTAGATATTACTTAAAACAGTCTTAAAGTAAGAATAAATTATACATATTGTCCAAAGATTGAAGATTGAATATACAAAAAAAATTATGTCATAAATAAGTACAAAATATAAAATGTAACGATAAAAGTAACTGTAAAATTCGTTACCAAAAGAATGTAACTATGTTATTGTTATAGCTATTAAAAAAAAAGGTAATGCCATTACCAATTTATTATCAAAAAAGAAACTTGTAACAATAACATTATTATAAGTAATGTGTTACTTCTATTTCCTGTATGTACTATATACTAATACACATTATATCTTATAATAATCTGTATACTTTGTTTAGAAGATAATACTACAAAATACTTGTTCAAAGAAAATTTTTTTTTAGGAAATTGTTACATATAGACATATCCACTTAGTCACTCAGGGAAAAAGGATTCCTAGAAACAATTCTTTATTGGATCTGCAAAGAAACTGTAGAATTACAGGAATCTCTTTAGTTCGTTATGCTAGTACAAATGAAACCACAGAAAGTAAAACTCCAGTAAGTGAAACTATAACAAATGAAACTCCAGTAATTGAAACTATAATAAATGAAACACCACCACAAAATAGTCCATATGATGAAATACCAGGTTTGTATAGAAGCATTTCTTTGAAAATTAATATTTCTTTTAGTCTCTCCTTTTTATAAATATACTACTATGATAAATATTGAGAAAAAATATCTAGTTGCTGTATGTTAATTTACATATTATTAACAATAAACCATTATATAAATAAATATACTTTCTCTTATCCCTAAAATTTTCTTGTACGTAATTACAATATAAGAAATAAAAATTATAGAAATTATTTTACGAACTTTATTTATTAATCTACAGTTTATGTATGTAGATCCACCAACACCAATACAAGAAATAATAGAAAATATTGTGAAAGTGCATCCAAATGGAGAGCCAACGTTCGAGAGTCTAGGATTGGGTGGTTGGACTCCGCCAGGGATTGTACAGAATATCTTAGAATTTATGCACATAAATTTAGATATGCCATGGTGGTTGACAATTGTTATAGGTACTGTTTCTTTATCACAAGATGATTATCGATTTAATAAAAATTCTAAAATTATTAACACAAATCTAATTGTTTTGTTACAGCTACTATTTGTGCAAGAAGTCTTCTATTTCCCTTAGTGATAAAAGCGCAAAAGAATATGATTCGACTTACAAATCATATGCCAGTAATAAAAGACTTCCATGCGAGATTGACAGAAGCCAGGAATTGCGGCGATCATTTGCAAAGTATGATATATTAGAAAAATATTTTATATTGACGAAATTTTGTTTTGATAAAGAACTGTATGTTTGCCGATCTCACTATAAAGAAAGTACACTAATTACTCTCTTCCGAATAGGTGCACAAGTAGCGGCAGAGATGATGAAGTTCATGAAAACGAACAAAATTAGTTTTACACAGAACATTATGATGCCATTAGTACAGGTATGCAATACTTCTACGCATTCATATATGCAAAAAGTGTAAAAAAAAATCATTTCCTAATTATAATTCTAATGTTTCAGGCACCAGTGTTCATCTCCTTCTTCTTCGCATTGAGAAAAATGGCAAACTTGCCTGTGGAGAGCTTAAAAGACGGTGGCTTTTTGTGGCTAAAGGACCTTACAGTATATGATCCTTATTATATAATGCCGATAATTACCAGTGTAACAATGTTTATCACAATCGAACTCGGCACGGATGGCACTAATATCCATGCGATGGGTATAATGCGATATGTTTTGCGAGCTTTGCCATTCGTTGCTTTACCGTTTATGTTGCATTTCCCTGGGGTAAGTATAATATCGATATTATGATTGATATGAGAAGAATTAATGTGAAGACATTTGTGTATCATGAAATATTTTATTTAAACGCAAACAATAACTTTCATATTTGATATACTCTTTCTCTGAATTTTCTTCATCGCATTACTCTATATTTGTAGACTATTTTGACATATTGGGTAGCAACAAACAGTATCTCTCTGGTACAAACTAGTTTTCTAAAAATCCCACGTATAAAGAAAGCTCTCGGTATGCCCACCATGATAAAACGCGATATTCCAAAAGCGTCCACCAAAAGCGTCCAAGGTTTCGTTAATGAAATGAAGGAATGTGAGTATTGCTCAATATATGTATGTATCATGTATATCAAACATATCACAATATGTTTGAAAATAATCAATATTTTGGGAAAGCTGAATGTCTGTTAATATATATAACGTATACACTGATAATGTTTAACTTTATATAGCAAAAATAATGGACAAATATAAATAATCAGTTGCGCATACAAATAAAGTATCACTCGTATGTATTTTATAAAAGTATGATACTTTAAAAATCTGCATTATATCCGTTTTAGCTTGGACAAACATGAAGATAACAAAGCAGCTATCTGATAGAGAACGGGCAGATACAATACAGTTTAATAGCGCGGGTAAGGGTCCCATAGTGAAGACGTTTAAATATGATCCGACGAAGCAAAAGCAATCGACAACAGTATTTACAAAAAGTAGAGAATAATTTTATTTAGAATTAATATGTATTTAGTTACACAATGTGCAACACAATAAACAAAATTGTAATTATAGCTGTAATAAAGAAAATACTATTTAATATAAAATCTATTTTTATAATATTTATTTTGTTAAACATAATAAATCTTTTATATTTTTCTTAATAAAAAACGTATTTTTTATACATAGATAGATGATAGAAAAATTCACAATTGAATAAATAAAAAAGAGAATTCATTAGATTTCAAAATTAAATTAAAAATATACAAGAAGAAGCTTCTTGATTCAATATCTTTGTAAAAGTTTATTTTTTATTTAGAAATATTTTCTCTTATGTATATACATATATATGTGTGTACATATATGTATATATATATATATACACACACACGCACACATATGTATTAACTGTATAAGGAAGTATTTGGAAGTTCTATTTTCGTCTCTTGTCACTTATATACTTTATACTTTCTATATGTATGTATACGTTTACTGAAACGGCTGTTCCTCCTCTGGACTGAGTGACCTTTCGACACTCTGCTGCGTCACAAAGACACTTTGTGTTTTTGCCGTAAGATTTGCCTGCTAAAAAAATTTTTTTATTATGTTTCATTCAACATATATTTCTATGATTTTCTTAACTCTTTGGATCATCGACAAGATATTAGATTTGTCGCGTCGCATGCTCCAACATGCTCCTACTATAATTCCTACTCACTCCAATGAGCGCTTAGGAGTTATGATAAAAGCATGTTGGAGCATACAACGCGAACAAATTTATTATTAACGATGACCTCCAAAAAATTTGCTGTATATCAAGTTTCTGGGAATTTATATAAGAAAACAATGTGCTTCAAAGAGAGTATTAAACTAATATATACATTTTCAAATAATAAATAAAGAGCTATTCAGGCCGAGCTGAATGTCTTTGCTTATAAATGTATCAGTATTAAACAAAGTCGAAAGGATTGTAATTAATGAAAATAGAGAAAGTTATCTATTGTACTCGAGTTCTTACAGTGAATCAATCAACTTGAGGATTGAGTAAGTTAAAGATGGACAGTATAATGGATTTAAAGTTAATTTTTTCTCAATTTGACCATCCTTATTCTAAAAGATTCGCTCGCTAATTGCATATCATACAATTTTATCATTTATGAGCAAAATTATAAGGATAATTAAATGCGTAATACGAGTACACGAAACTGAACAGCGTGTGTGTTAACACTTATACAAAGTAATAATATGCATAGTAATAAGAGTCTTTGTAAAATTTCATTGATATATGTGTAATTTATGCTCTTTGTAACACTAATGATTACATCAAAGATTGAAATGTTTGATTTATTCCTGACTTTGTTTAATACTGATATATTTAATAGCAGAAATATCTAACTCGGCTTGAATTAATTATTTTTTTATTATTTGAATTTATATTCATTAGAGCCTTATAGAGAGAGTACAGTGATTTAAATTTTATAACCAACGTAGATTTTATATTGTAATGAATAAATTTGAGATTATACCTGTGTTACTGACGTGTTAGTGTGACTACTAGCGGCCATACACACTACAACTAATTTCGGTGTAGAACTCTGTACATGTGTCTTCTGTTGGGCGACATTAGTCTGCGTTAATTTAACTTGCTGTTGCTGCTGCTGTTGTGGTTGTTGTGTTTGTGCCTGTGTCTGCTGCTGTTGTTGCTGCTGCATCGAACCAGTATTGATAGTGGTATTTATATTGGAGATCGTAGGAGTTTGCGAGCGTGACTGCAAAATAACAAATTTTTGTCCACCGGTAGCGGAAGATCCGGTAGTACTTCTGCTCGTGCCAAGCATGAATGTGCGACCGGGTTGTTGACCTGTATTCGAACTGGATACTATAACATAAAATAGTATTACTTATACACATATCACTACCATACGTCAATAGCGATTTCTATACCTGTTTGCACAAGTGTTTTTCCTGTACAATTAGAACCTTGTTGCTGATTTGTGGTAAGTGTCGTAGTTGTAGCTGTAGTTGTTAAAGCAGCCGGTTGCGTGCGAGCTTTTACAACTGCAGCACACAATGCAGGTCCTATATATCCATAATCTTGTTTATACTCGTCCACATAATCTGGTGGCGATCGTATTGTTTTTAAGACTGGAGCAACCGATTTCTAGAAACATTGTTTACAATGCATTACACAATTTATTTCCAATATGCACAATATAAGAGAATAAAGCATTGAACATAATAATTAATTATTAAAAGGAATGTAATAATTAGTAGAGACATTAATTTTTTATAGAAAAAGACAAGCTGCGCGCACGCGCAACACGCATGCACATAATGCTTTAAAAAATTCTTATACAGCTTTACAAGAAAGAATAGAGAATATTTTAATTTAAAAAACTCCTGACTGAAGAGAATAGTTCCTCAGTTTCTTAACAAACGAAAAGGATTTATATTCTTAGCGTAATGCATAACTCTATGTGAGAGCAGAGTTGGCAGTAGTATATTTGATCTCGATCCTCAGTGTATATCTCAAATTTATATAAGAATGATCGAGAATTGAAGTAGATATAGATTAAAAGAGTATAAAAATAATTTCGAGAATATATCCATATTTCATTCTATACACGTAGATACTTTAAATGTCTTACAGCTTTTAAAATTAGTTTAACGTACCACAAGTAAAGTCTTGATATGTCCTGCTCCGTTTTTATCTACACTAGATAGTCCTTGGCCCTCGATACACGATTCGATACGTTCAGAGATGGACTTAATTTTAGGAATAACTAGAGCTTTAATCACTTCTGGTCCTAATTCACAAAGACCTTCGATCGCTCCATATAGAGATGCCAATGGTGTCTACAACAAATAATCTTTTAAAACAGCAAATGGAATTTGTACTAGAAATTGACCTGACAACAAGGTTGATCTGCACTATTCTAAAATCATTTCTTTTTTTCTTGATTAAGTACTTTATATTATTTAGCTGTTACCTGATTATTCTTTGCCAATGCTTGACTAAACATACGGGTGACCCTAGTTTGCACATTATTCGTAGAGGTGTTAAAATTTTTACATATCTGCGCCATCAACCGGGAAGCAAAATCGCGTAATGCCCAATGATTGTCTACCTCAGGTCTCATACACAATTGTCGAGAAACTATACAGGTTGCAACTGACGGTATCAACTCATGAAGCTGCGAATCGAAATATTTTAATATATAAAAATTAAAATAATAGTTTATTAATACGCGCATTTATAAAGATGAAGGCTTATATTACATATTTCTCCAAATAAAGGCTTGGATTATCAAGTAGAGCTTTGACCATTCGCATGAGGTAGATGAGCAGCGCGAGATGATTCTGTACTACGTTGACTCGCACTCCCTCCGCAATAAAAGTGCACATACGAGCCAACATTTCATGTAGACCTGGATCCGCCGAGAGCGATTGAAGAGCCTCTGCCCTACGAGCTTCATCAGACCCAACGCATGCTTCAGTTATTTCCTTGTAGTACAATTGCTGTTCCACACTGAGTTCGTGTGTTGCGAGCTGCTTTACGTGAACAGTTTCAATGTTCCGTAGCTTCTGACTTTTGCCACCACCGCCTGGTTTACCAACGCCAATGTTTTGATTTTTACTTGAAAGCTTAATTGTCGGATCAACACTCTCCAATTTCTGAGCATCTGTTAAAAATTAATATAATAGTAATTGAAAATTAAGAGTACTTACAAATTATGTCAAAAAATTCTTTGAAATATGTTCTTAAATTTTTCTTTAATATAACTTTCAAAAGTACGAAGAAAATTTCTTATTATGACATTTTATAGAAAAATATTTTATAGAAATCAAGGAATCAGATAAAACCTTTTGATACTGGCGGTGGATTTTCTGGTATGGTAGGTTGAACTCCATCAATGCACAGCCAATGAGCTCGCAATGTAATTTCCAGAGGTAGCTTTGGCCATGACTGTCCGCCAGCTGTAGCTACAATCTCATTAAGGTCGATTTCTTTCTCCTCTACAAAATGCAATTCTCTACCACCACCTGATGCAAAGCGGAATGGTATGTGATCTTTGGCGAAAAAACCATAAGTTGGCTCAATGTTCTTAATCTTCAACGCATGATCTATATCATGTGCAGTCATTCGTTGACGTTTTCCATGTCTCATGAATTTTGCGGCATCCTATAAAAAAATACAATTATTATAACCGTTTTATAAAAATATTTAATTCGTGAACCACTGATAATGCAGTGAATTTGTGTTTATAAAGTAGAGAATTCGTATAATTAAAGCAGAATGTATACGTAGCGCTGTATCGAGTCAGAATGATAGACATTTTAATCTCTAAAGTCTTAAACTTTAACGCTCGATAACTTGATTCACAAGGCCAACAGTTGCGTTTTTCTGCCAGATTCTTTCGTTTTGAGTGAATTCGTGTTAAATGAGTAAATTTTTATTAAAATCTTAGGGAGGAGGGAGGGATATTCTAAATAAAAATCTAGAGATATACTATGCATTCCGTTTTCACACTGACCTGCTGTAAACATCAGTTCATCTTTATTGTCTATGAAATATTAAACAAGTATTATGCTTACAAACAATGTAAACACAAAACAGAATGCACCCATAATCTTTAATGAATTTGAAATTAATTTCTTCTTTTTTCTCCATTTTGGTAAAAATTAAATATATATGTGATAGAAGTTATTCACACACTAACCTGAACAATTTCTTTTAACCTGTAACTGACATCCTCTGCAAGATCTTTTGCAGCTTCATCCGGGAAATTGCCAACACCAATACTCTCTGCTATCACTTTGATGGACTCTTGAGACAAAGTTGTCCCATACATAGACTCATTTTCACTCATTTTGAAATTGTTTTGTGAATAGCAATGAATATAAAGCTTTATAAATATGCTTACTGCTTAACTTTCACAGTTTCCTATAAATATAACATAATAATATAATATTACGATACAAGTAATACTTATTGCTAAGAAAAAATTAATTGACACACAAACATAGACATAAATAACTGCCTACTTTGATATAAAAACTAGAAGATTC